ACACACACACACACACACACACACACACTATATGTAAGAATGACTTAAGCATGTCTCAATCATGAATGGGAATAAACTGAATGATTTCCTAGAGCAGCAACCCCCAACATTTTGGGCATCAGGGACCAGTTCCATGGAAGAGAGGTTTCTCCGTGGACCAGAGGGGGCATGGTTTCGTGTGCTACCTGCATGGATGAGGTTTTGCTCATTTGTGTGGCCCAGTTTCTGGCCTGCTGCAGCCTAGTACTGGTCCACAGACTGGGAGTTGGGGACCCCTGTCCTAGAGGACATAGCAGGAAAAAAAAACTTCCAGAGCATGTTATTACTTGGCTAGGTGCAAGTAGGAGAATGTCGAAGATTATCTAGAAAGCCCATCCACCTAAGATTAATTGAAGCATCGGGTAAAAGCTTGAAGTAGCCCACCTCAGATTCTGTGGATACGGCATGCCATGTGTGACTATGGTGCTTTCCAAGGCAACAACTGGTTTTCTACTCTCCATAGCTTCTTTTACCAAGGGATGAATGTTGAAGTCACCATCTAAAATAAAATAAATTTACTCATTATTAATGATTCAAGAATGATTCAATTTCTTTCTTTCATCCATTTAATGAAGAAAAATGTCATGTTTATGCCATGCAATTGGTATGGTTTTATTTTCTTATGACTAGACAGGACTTAGATGTTATTGCCAGAATAATATGTTAACATTTAATAGTGATAAATATAAAGTAGTCATGTTTAGAATTAGGCAGGGGGGAAAAGCCCACAAATGACTTGTCTGACAAACAGAAATTGATCTGGTTTTCTCTTAATACTAACTTGAAATTTAATATTTCAAGCTGAATGATTAAGATGAAAGGCTGGTCCAAACAATAATGGTTCCTTAAGATTTTGGACCAAGCCTGGAAGCAGACAGGTGTGCCTTATTCTCAGGTTATTAAAGCACAAATTACAATTCCAGATATTATATGGGATGAAAATATAAGGTTTATATTAACTTGATCAATTATATATCTTCCAACAATAATCTTAAAATGGTTTTATGGATGCTAAAAAGTACTTAAACTATTTGAGGATGGAAATAAGGACATAACCATTGTTTTTTCCAGCACATCAACACATTAGCTACTACGTAAAACTAACTCCTATGGCTACATAATATACAGAATATAGGCTACATAAATTATTATCTATGACTTATGTAAGCCCATAAAATAATTCTGGTCAGTACAAATAACAATCTTACCTCAGAAAGCATGGATAAATATAATGAAATTCATTTATACAAAATACAGTAGGTTAAAAATAGTTATATAAATATTGGAAATGAAATTGCATATTTACATTAAATAATTATCTATTGAATTTATGTTACATTTTACATTTTTCTGCTGTATATTTTTACTCATGTTTAAGCACTTATATAGTTTTTTTAATTGATCATGTGTTTTGTGTTTTGTTCCTTTTTTGTCATTATTTAAAGAGTAATTCAAAATTATTTTACAAATTGTAATTCAAAAATTTAATTTCTCTAAGTCGTATTTCTTACAATGTGAACAAATCAGGCAAATGTACAATTTGAATAGAGAATCAAAGATGTGTCGTTAAAGTTTGATTTTTCCTTATTAAGTAGGATAAACACACCTTCCTGGTATAATAATTAAAACAGAAACCCTAGACTCAGACATAGTTTTTTTATATTCGACAAATATTTTATGAAAATTGGGTATTATTTTGTAATATTATGTAATATCTCCATCTGCTGCATTATAGGGGAGCTATAAGCCATTTTATTTTATTAGGTTTCTGTTATTATAACAATCAGTTAGAAAAATCTCCTATACTATCTACAGAATATAATTGTCCACTTATTCAAAAGATCAGAGAATATTTATTTAGATTTATTTGACTACCCATCTCGTTACAGTGGTTCTTATTAGAACAAAGTTTTAAAATATAGAAGCACAATATAGGTAACTGTTAAAACATAAAATACAACCCAAAGAAGAAATAGTAGCTGACAATTAAAAAAAACACCCCACAAAATAATTTCAAACCATCCAGATATCACAAACTTGAGTTTAAAACAGAGATATTTTCTTTTTTTTTTAATTATTTAAGTTTTTTTTTTACATAGAATGAAGAAATGCAAGAAAATAAAGAGAGAAAATAAAATAACTTTAGAATATATGAATAACTGCCAACCTTTTTAACAGACAATCTTATTATCCCCACTCCCTCTTAGATATCATACAAATCCCTTTGGCCTCTAATTTAATCACATCTTTCTTAAATCTTTAAATCCATAAATCATCATTTCTTTCAAAAACAGAGGTATTTTCATGATAGCCTGAAGCCTTTATAGTCTACAGTCTAGAAAACTGTTTTTCCATTTGAAAATCTAGAATTAAGTTAACGGCATTTCTTTTTGCCACCTCTCAGTTTTACTCTACAAATATACATAATGATTTTGTGTTGCTTAATTTGGCTTAATATTATATATTTTATTCTTTACTGCACTGATATCTTATCAATATATTTTCATCAGGAGGTGGGTGATGTTGAAAGAAATGTTTGTGAAAAGCAAGAGCCTGGTAGCAACTTTCCTGATTAACAAATGTTATTCAAAGGCTCTGTGATGATTAAAGCTGGAACTTTAATAAAGAAAATACACTGCTCAAAAAAATAAAGGGAACACAAAAATAAGACATCCTAGATCTGAATGAATGAAATATTCTTATTAAATACTTTGTTCATTACATAGTTGAATGTGCTGACAACAAAATCACGCAAAAATTATCAATGGAAATCAAATTTGGCAACCCATGGAGGTCTGGATTTGGAGCTACACTCAAAATTAAAGTGGAAAAAAACACTACAGGCTGATCCAACTTTGATGTAATGTCCTTAAAACAAGTCAAAATGAGGCTCAGTAGTGTGTGTGGCCTCCACGTGCCTGTATGACCTCCCTACAATGCCTGGGCATGCTCCTAATGAGATGGTGGATGGTCTCCTGAGGGATCTCCTCCCACACCTGGACTAAAGCATCCCCCAACTCCTGGACAGTCTGTGGTGCAACGTGGCATTGGTGGAGGGAGCGAGACATGATGTCCCAGATGTGCTCAATTGGATTCAGGTCTGGGGAACGGGCGGGCCAGTCCATAGCATCAATGCCTTCGTCTTGCAGGAACTGATGACACACTCCAGCCACATGAGGTCTAGCATTGTCTTGCATTAGGAGGAACCCAGAGCCAACCACACCAGCATATGGTCTCACAAGGGCTCTGAGGATCTCATCTCGGTACCTAATGCCAGTCAGGCTATCTCTGGCTAGCACATGGAGGGCTGTGCAGCCCCCTAAAGAAATGCCACCCCACACCATTACTGACCCACTGCTAAACTGGTCATGCTGGAGGATGTTACAGGCAGCAGAACGTTCTCCACGGCGTCTCCAGACCCTGTCATGTCTGTCACATGTGCTCAGTGTGAACCTGCTTTCATCTGTGAAGAGCATAGGGCGCCAGTGGTGAATGTGCCAATCTTGGTGTTCTCTGGCAAATGCCAAACGTCCTGCACGGTGTTGGGCTGTAAACACAACCTCCACCTGTGCACGTCAGGCCCTCATACAACCCTCATGGAGTCTTTTTTTGATCGTTTGAGCAGCCCCATGCACATTTGTGGCCCGCTGGAGGTCATTTTGCAGGACTCTGGCAGTGATCCTCCTGTCCCTCCTTGTACAAAGGCAGAGGTAGCAGTCCTGATGCTGGGTTGTTGCCCTCCTACGGCCTCCTCCACGTCTCCTGATGTACTGGCCTGTCTCCTGGTAGCGCCTCCATGCTCTGGATAGTAAGCTGACAGACACAGCAAACCTTCTTGCCACAGCTCGCGTTGATGTGCCATCCTGGATGAGCTGCACTACTTGAGCCACTTGTGTGGATTGTAGACTCCGTCTCATGCTACCACTAGAGTGAAAGCACCGCCAGCATTCAAAAGTGACCAAACCATCATCCAAAAAGCATAGGAACTGAGAAGTGGTCTGTGGTCACCACCTGCAGAACCACTCCTTTATTGGGGATGTCTTGCTAACTGCCTATGCTTTCCACCTGTTGTCTATTCCATTTGCACAACAGCATGTGAAATTGATTGTTAATCAGTGTTGCTACTTAAGTGATTTCACAGAAGTGTGATTGACTTGGAGTTACATTGTGTTGTTTAAGTGTTCCCTTTATTTTTTTGAGCAGTGTAGAATTTGGTCCATTCACTTGAAATGGAAAGCAAACGAAATTCTTTAAATCTACAGTCCAGATACAAAACTTCACGCAAGTTAAATTATGCCTGTGTTTTTCACATTTGATCACCCCAGCCTCCAAAAAAAAAAGGAGTAAACCTTTTCAGGATATACTCACTATGCAAAGATCTTCTCAAACAGGGTAGATAATGAGCCAATGCAGCATTGCTATTCCACAATACAAAAGTGGTCTTCCAATCATTTTTTGCCAGAATAGAAAACCAATTCATGAGTGCAGATCTGCGAAAAAAAATAAAATGAAATGGTGGTAAATGCGATACACAAAATAAAAAATATTTGTGTTATGGAAGAATGTGTAAAAAATTCCAGACAGGGTTCAGGCTCAAAGATTAATCAGTAACACAACTTGTTTGTCACTTTGATTGCAAATCTAGCCATAAGATGCTTTGTAACCGTGTAATTCATAGCATGGTTTTGTGGAATGTGAACCCAAGATAATGAGGTATTATCATCTCCATTCAGATCTGTAATAGAACTGAAAACATTCTAGTGGCATTGGGACTGAAACTGATTAAATTATTATTTAATTCTCCTTTGACCCAATTCTATTTAACCACATGGTTTGAGTAATAGGTGAATACATTCTATTATTACATTGCAACCTGAAATGAATCTGTAAAAACAGGAACACATTAAAGGAATCTGTAAAATTTGTATATTACATACCAATTCTCATGAATGAAGGCAAATATATGTGTCCCGGGATAATGTTGCAGGATCTAATTTGGGTCATTCACCAGGACCAGAGGTTTAGTCTTCAGGCTTGTGCTAGAGTCCAATTCCCAGGGAATTTCTCTCTACCATCTGAAATGTGTGTATAGAGTTTGAATTCTGCAATATACCAATTCTTTTCACTAGGCTAAAAAGTTCTTTGAGGTAAATTATCTGTGCATGGTTCAAAAATAGTAGAATAGTGGTATATTTAACTGTAGTAGAGTATTTTAAATTGCCGCTTTGTGCAGCAAAGGAGCAGGTGAGTTGTGTCCTTCTATACTTAAAAAGATTAATGTAGACAAAAAGTTAAACATCTGTGTTGTGCTATGTCTATGTTGTATTTTAAAAGCACAATTCCAAAGCTGGGTCTGGAACAACTAGTAACAAACAATACTAGGCTTAACAACTGCCTCGATCTCATCTTCTGCAATAGTTTGAATTCAATTTATGGAATACAAATTAAAGAACCCTTTTCCAACAGTGACCACAACATGATTGACTTTTGTCTCAACATACGTCCACACAAAAATCATCACAACGACAAAATCCCCAATTATAACTTCAAAAAAGGCAACTATGATCTTATAATCAACGATCTCTCTTCCCTTGATTGGCAATTTCTATTCACTGGATGCAATACTGTTGAAGACCATTACAACATATTCTTACTAGAAATCAAAAGAGCCATCAAACTATATGTACCAATAACAACTCCCAAAACCAGGAAAAACAGATTTTAAGGAAATTTCAATCCAAAAAGAGATCACTTTGGCAAAAAAACAAATCTGGTCACGTTGCCAACTTCAAAAGCCGTTACAAAAATCTATGCCACCAGATTAAAACTGAATGCACTAATTATCACATTAAACAAGAGGAAAACCTTCTATGCACATATTCCACCCGTGCTTTCTACAATTTGTAAACAAAAAACTAAAAGACTCAAGGTCCATTCCACCCCTGAAAGGGCCTAATGGCAAAGACTGCAACGACGACACCATCAAGGCAAACCTCTTTAACACATTCTTTGGCTCAGTATTTGTAAACAGCAATGGATCAAGCCCAGTACTTCCTAGTCGAACCACAGACAACTACAATGATCTAATACATATCGATTTTACAGAAGACATTGTTGAAAAAGCACTGCGCAATTTAAAACCACCCCTTTCTATTGGACTGGAAGGAATATGTGCCTACTTCTTAAAAAAGCTATCCACTTCCACAGCCGAACCTCTAAGCATAATCTTTGAAAAATCTTTCAGGACCAGCTCCTTGCCAAAACTATGGTCACAAGCCACGGTCATCCCCATCTTCAAAAAGGAAGACCCCAGCCGACTTAAAAATTACAGACCAATCTCCTTATGCTGCGTCACCTGTAAAGTCATGGAATCAATTATTAACCAATCCATTATCCTCCACTTAGAGACAAACAACCTACTCTCTAATAAACAATTTGGTTTCAGACAAAAACTATCCTGTAATCTGCAACTCTTACACTGCAAAAACATATGGATTACACAACTCCATCAGGGCAAAGCAATAGACGCAATCTACATAGTCTTCGGTAAAGCCTTTGATTCAGTGGTACATGACAAACTACTACTAAAACTAAAATCTTATGGTATCTCTGGACACCTACATAACTGGATACAAGCATTCCTGTCAAACAGACAACAAATGGTCAAAATTGGGAGCGTCCTATCAAATTCTGTACCTGTCAACAGTGGTGTCCCCCAAGGCAGTGTTTTAGGACCAACTCTCTTCATACTCTACATAAATGACCTCTGTGATCATATTAAGAGCAATTGTGTTCTCTTCGCTGATGATGTTAAGCTATTCAACACCACAGACTATACTACTATCCTCCAAAAAGACCTTGACTATGTATCAGAATGGTCAAACAAATGGCAACTTCAAATCTCAACAAATAAATGTTCTATCTTACATATTGGCAGAAAAAATCAGAAAATAAAATACAAACTAAATAGCCAAGACCTTGTTTAGGATCCAAACTTTGTCAAGGACCTTGGAGTACTCATCTCAAATTATCTAAGGGCTAGAGCCCACTGTAACTACATAGCCAAAAAGGCATTAAGAGTTGTTAATCTAATCCTACATCGCTTCTTCTCTGGTAACATCACACTACTAACTAGAGCATACAAAACATTTGCTAGACCTATACTTGAATACAGCTCATCAGTCTGGAACCCATATCATGTATCTGATATTAACACAATTGAAAAAGTCCAGAAAGATTTCACAAGAAGAGTTCTCCACTCCTCTACTCATTGCAGAATACCTTATGCCACCAGATTTGAAACTCTAGACCTAAAAAACCTAGAACTACGCCGCCTCTGGTCCGATCTAAATATAGTATATAAAATCATACATTGCAATGTCCTACCTGTCAATGAATACTTCAGCTTCAACCATAACAGCACAAGAGCACACAATAGATACAAACTCAAGGATAACCGCACCAAACTTGACTGCAGAAAATATGACTTCAGCAACAAAGTGGTTTGGAATACTCTACCTGACTCTGTGGTTTCTTCCCCAAACCCCAAATACTTTAACCTTAGACTGTCTACTATTGACCTCACCCCCTTCCTAAAAGGCCTGTAGAGGGCGTGCATAAGCGCACCAGTTGTGCCTACCGTCCCTGTCCTATTGTTTTTTATTTTTCTTATAAGTATCTATCTCATGTATTCAAAACTATATTTATTCTTATACCTGTATCTTGTAAGCGATTGACAAATCAAATAAAATGTAAATGTAAACACTTTCAGAAGCACAACCCCACTTCAGTCTGTTTCCTTGGGATCTCCACTAACATTGTACAAAATAGCAAAAACTATTTCAGCAGACTATACAAAATAACAAATAGCTCTGCAGGTTTGGGGGAAGGACAGCTTTTTTAAAAATCTTGTAACATTTTTGTTTCTGCTTCTATTAAAAATAATTGAAAACATTTTGTAGGATTATTTCTTGTAATCAGTTTTAACCACATCGATTTTAATTACAGCCTTGTATCTATTCTTCCACTTCAGCATTGCAAAAGGTATCTTTGGCCTTGCAGTTTAAAGGCTTGTGACTCTAGTTCAGATGCCAAGGAGGAAGATTAAATTAATATGCCTCTCAATCAAATACTGTTTGGTTTTAATTTCAAATCAACTTAAACCTGTGTCCATTCTTACTTTAAAAATTAAGCAAGTTTCACCAGTGTGTTTTAAAACCTTCCTGTCTATCTCAGCCAATACTGTACAGTATTCTCAGTAAACTATTTTGGATTTTCATGGTGAGAAGTTTTTGTTTACCATCCATGCAGTGATCTAATATTTGAAGAATATTAATCTTTGTTCTGAGAAAAAGATGGTCATATAGCCAACTCCTTACCTCTGGCATGTGTTTCTCGCGATCATACGCTGACTGAAATTTTAATGGGGGCTGGGTGGAATTGCAACAGAAGAATCTTGGAGGCTTCAGCTGTGCTGCATTTCAGCTCCATACTAGTGTTGACCAACTCTATTTATCATTAACATTAACAGAAAAAAACAGGTGGCAGGCTGGAACCATTCAATGCCCTGAAGGAAGGGGAGACTAAAATATCAAATTTCCAGCATCAATTGAGAAATTTCCTTTTGAGAAATTAAAAGCAGATTTGAATAAATCTCTGAGGCATTGTATTTTCAGAAAAGTTAAATAAAAGTACAAAAGATAACAGTATTGCAAAGAGTAGTTTTGTCAATTTATCATCCAAAATAAGATAAGCTTGCCTCTGTCTAGACACCTGACTTACATCCACCCTGGCTATTCATTATTATTTGAAACTTCTGCCACTATTAGCTGTGAGGGTTTAAATTTTAGTTGATTGAAATGAGTCCCTCACCATCTGCTCAGTCAAAGAGCTTTGATGGAATGTTTAGAAATAATCTTACTTTTCAGATATAAACTAATAAAAACAACTCTCCATGTTAAGGACAGAAGGACAGATGAAGTTATATTTCTGCTGGTGATAAGTGTCTTTTTATATGTTGATCAACTGATTCATATATTATCTTAAATTGTAATTTAATCATTTTATCAAATAAGTCATAGCTAGGTTTACACAACATGCTAAGTTATAAAATGTTTAAAAACTACAATATCTGAATTCACAGAATATGTTCAAAATCAATTATTTAATAATTATTTAAGACACAATAGCATTGTCCAGCTTCCCGAGTTTGCATTTTCATTAGACCATAAATCAACATTGAGTTAACACAATGAGTCACAAATTAGTGAAACTTGTTTTAGTTGAAGAGTTGTATGTCATTCCTTAACACAAAAATCCTAGTTTTTTTCAATATTACTTAAAATAGCAAATTAAACACTCATTTTCACTGAAAATATAGATTGAATTCATTAAAGTGGAACAGATGTCATGTTTATTGTACTATTTATTTTACATTTAATAATTTACCCCAAAGGTGCTTTTTCAAGAGGTCTTCTGATT